TCCTCCAGCAGCCCCAGCAGCCCCAGCAGCGCCTCTAGAACGTCCCCGGAGAGCGGCCGCGTGCCGCACCGCCACCGCCGCAGTGCGCACAACCGCACGCGCCTCGGTTGCTGCCCGCCCTCCCCAAAGGGACACATCGCTATGCATCTTGGGTTTGCTCTGGTTGTTTTCCTCCTCCTCCTATTCCTCCTATTCCTCCTCTTCCTCCTCCTCCTCCTTCTCCTACTCCTCCTCCTCCTCCTCCTCTTATTCCTCCTCCTCCTCGTCCTCCTCGTCCTCCACCTCAACCTCCACGCCCCTTTTCCCCCTCTTCCTCTCCCATCCTTGCCCCCCAACCTCCCCTCCTTCCACCGACTCCACAAGTCTCTGCCCCCCACCTTCTACCCCCCCCCCTGTCTCATCTCCCCCTCCGCCTTATCACCTTCCTCGTCGGTGCTTGCCCAGCTCGGCTGCGTCCTCGACGGGGACAGAAACAAAAACGAAGATGGCGGCGGTGTCTGCGCCATGGCCGCGGCTTTTTCCGCGCGCGCGTGGAGCGCACTGGGTTTCGTCGCGGCGTGGCAGCATCGTTCCAGGCCCGTGCAATTTTGCTATGTTTTGGCTCTCCGTTCTGTTTTGTTTTGGGCTGCCGTTTTTTGTTTGGGGGGAGTGGCCTGGCAAATGTTGTTTTGTTTATGGCTTGAGCTGTCATACTTGTTCTGTGTTGGTCGACCGCAACACCAAAAGTTGTAAGCGGAAAAAAAGCCCCCCAACGCTTCCGATAATCACTACTTGAGCAGGGACCGACCGTCCCGGCAGTCATATAGTCCTACCACGAAATGATCCTAGAACCCACACGTGTTCTAATAACAAAAACAATGTTCTCAGAACATTGACCCGATGTGTTGAAACAAGACCCTCCCAGCCAAACGCGTTCTAAGAACATCTCGTGGACACCAAAAGAAGTCCTCAGAACAGTGTTCGGCAGGGCTGTAGGCACGCCAGGACGCTGCGCCACTACCCGACCTAAGCCCCGAGCCCCCCCCCCACCCACCCCACCCGCGCGACGGCGCTCCCTGGGGCCCTCGCTCCTGGGGAGGAGGAGGGGGAGGAGGAGGAGGAGGAGGGGGAGGAGGAGGGGGAGGAGGAGGGGCAGGAGGAGGAGCAGGATGGTGAGGTGGAGGATGGAGGGAGGAGGAGGAGGAGGAGGAGGAGGAGGAAGTGAGGAGGGGGAGGAGGAGAAGCAGGAGGAGGGATCGTCGCACGGGAGCCAGGCAGGCCCTGGGGCAGGCGCCAGGAGAGGGCCTCGGACGCCCCGCCCCCGCGGGGGGCCCGGGGCGGGGCGGCCCGCGGCTGCGCCCCCGCCCCGGGGGCGGCCTGGGGCGCAGATCTGGCCGTCGCTCGGACGTCCAGTCCTTACCAGCCTCGAACGTATCCGTATCCCTAAGATTGACACGCCAAAAGGCGATGACAACCTTAGGGATTCGCCTTCAAAAAGTAAGGGAATCCCTAAGATTGGCATCGTGATGAGGAGGTGCCCAGCATAGGCATAGGGATATGTTCCAGGCTGGTGAGTTCCCCGTGTTTTTTTCGGTGTCCTGCGTGGCTTTGTCGCCCAATGATCAGGCATGCCCCTCGGTGGCCCTCGCCGAAGGAAACATGCACACGTCCGAGCGATGCCAAGGATTGCGGGCTGGGCCGGGCGGCCGTGTCCACGGATCAACGCTTTGCTTGCAGGCCTCTGCCAACTACCCCTCCCCCCCCCCAGCCCGCCTCCGGAGGCCCTCGCCGCTGCGGCGGGTCGCCCCTTCCCTCCCCGCCGCCCGCTCCCTGCCGACCCCCACCGGGTCCCCTTCGCCGTGCCCCTCCCGCGTCCCCGTCTCCCTCCTCCCTGTGTCCCTCCCCCGGCTCCTCCTCCTCCTCCTCCTCCTCCTCCTCCTCCTCCTCCTCCTCCTGCTCCTGCTCCTCCTCATCCTCCTCCTCCTCCTTCTTAGTTTGTCTTATTGTGATTATTATTATTTCCCTGTGATGTTTATTATCATTGTTATTATCCTTCTCCTCCTCTTCCTCCTCCCCCTCTTCCTCCTCCTCCTCCTCCTCCTCCTCCTTCCTCCTCCCCCCTCCCACGGTGCGCAGCGCCCCCTTCCCCCCCTGGCCCCACCTCGTCTCGCACAGCCTCCTTCTTTCCTTCGCGATGGCCCCTCCCTCCCCCGGCCAGCCAAAACAGCCGATGCCGCACTCCCCTGGACCCGCGCTTCGAGGTCGCCGCGCTCCCCCTGAAGGGCATACCCCCCTGGAGAAATGCTGTTCCCGTCGTACTTAAGGCCCACATCCCAGAAATCCGCCGATCCGGCGTGTGAGTTTCTGAGAGCGTGGACTTGAGCTCGCTCAAGCTTCGCTCTGCAGGGGGGGGGTAAGTTATTTCCGACGTCATTTCCGACGTTTTCCGGTACACGGGGACAGGGGGTATAGAAAACTCCAATTCCGGAGCCCAGACCGCCCAAGACAGCCCAAGAGGAAG